TAGTATTTTTATAAGAACCATATTAGCTCAGGAGTGAAAATTAACCTTGTAAAAAGAAGAATATTGAAGGATATGAGGGATTATTAAAACAATTGAGGGCTAGCCTTAGCTGGTTTTGCTCAGTGGATAGAGCGTTGGTCTGGAGACTGGAAGGTCCCAGGTTCGATTCCAGTCAAGGGCACATGCCTGGGTTGCAGGCTCGATCCCCAGTGTGGGGTGTGAAGGAGGCAGCCAATCACTGATTCTCATCTTTGATGTGTCTATCTTTCTCTTCCTCTCTGAATTCAATAAAAATATTTTTAAAAAATAATTGAGGACTATAAACAATTGGTAGTTTACCTTTTTGTTGAATTAGAAATTAGGTGGCTTCGTCATTTCATACCATTTTCCCACTAACTGCTGCACCTCCGCCCTAGAGTCAGATTAAAGGCTGTAGCTTGAAAGATGTTTTTCTCAGTTTAAAAAAGTGCTGATGCTTCCCCCTCTGAGCTTTAAATGGAAACCAGGAAAGTACCTGGTCGATTTACTCAAATTTACAGGGGCCAGTGATTAGCACGGTTTCATTCATCCTTCAGTAAATACTGAGCCACTGTAAACCCACGGCGAGTCAGAGCTCTGAAAAATGGTTTCTCCACCGTGACATTTTCCTGTTTTTACCTCTTTCTTTAAAAATAAATATTTCGTTGATTTTTTTTTTACAGAGGAGAAGGGAGATAATTTTTTTTTTTACAGAGGGGAAGGGAGATAGATAGATAGAAACGCCGATGAGAGAAACATCGATCAGCTGCCTCCTGCACACCCCCCACTGGGGACGTGCCCACAACCAAGGTACATGCCTTTGACCGGAATTGAACCTGGGACCCTTCAGTCCGCAGGCCAACGCTCTATCCACTGAGCCAAACCGGTTAGGGCTACCTCTATTTCTTTTAAATAACTAAACATTTCAAATATAAATTGCTGCAGAAAGAAAGGTATTAACATTTTTGAGTCTATTATCTGACTCTTAGGGCAAGTTCAGTCTGAAGGTTTGCTTAAGCTTTGCTCCTCAAAGTGTGGTCCCAGCAGCATTGGTATCACCTAGAAACGTGTTAGAAATGGTCTCGGGACTTACCCAGACCTACAAAGCCAGAATAATCGGCATTTTAATAACATTCCCGGGTGATTTATTGCACACTTATCGAGATTTGAGAGCACTGGTCTAGATCTTTTGATTGCTTCTGTAATGACTGGTTTCTCACTCCCATCCTTTTTTTTAAACCATACTCATTTTGAACCTTATATGTATAAATAGAAATCAAGTGTGAATTATCAAGACACTCCATCACAGTCGACCTTTCTCGGATGTAGTAAGGGGGGGAAAAGTATTTGTAGCTCTGCGATTATTCAAAATTCTTATTCTCTATAGAACCATCTTTCTCACTGTTGGTAACACAACATCTTACATGTAATACCTACATCGCCAGCACATAAGACGGCAAGTTCAGGTTTGTTCGTTTTTTAATGTGTACACAATTACATCTTGATACTGGGGACCAAGCCTGCAACCTGGGAATGCACCCCTGACTGGAATCGAACCTGAGACCCTTCGGTTTGCATGCCCATGCTCTATCCACTGAGCCAAACCGGTTAGGGCTCTTTTTATAATATTTTTATTGATTTCAGAGCGGAAGGGAGAGAGAGAACCACCAGTGATGAAAGAGAATCATTGATCGGCTGCCTCCTGCATGCCCCACACTGGGGATCAAGCTCACAACCTGGGCATGTGCCCTGCCTGGGAATCGAACACTGACCTCCTGGTTCATAGGTCGACGCTCAACCACTGAGTCACGCCGGCTGGGCAATATACCCTTGCTTAATTCCTATAACAGAGCCTTGTCCATTTTTCCAGAGATTCCCCTATCATTATTTTTTTCTCTGCTCATCACTTTTTTTCTGGAATCTGGTACCATACGTTCAGATCATTCCCAGCTTGGAAGCACTTCTCTCCCTGTCCACCTCCATCAGTGGGATATAGTTTCAGATGCCCTCGCTGATTCACTCTCTTTCTTTTAATCCACAGCCAGAAGAAATTCAACAGCAGATTGTGCGAGAGACCTTCCATCTAGTTCTCAAACGGGATGACAACATCTGTAACTTCTTGGAGGGTGGAAGGTAAGCGATTGGCTTCCGTTTTCTCCCCATGTGTCCACTTTCGGGCGGCCACCATCATTACTGCTTCCTGGGGCAGTGCTCAAGTGTCACGTGGGTCCCCAGTGCTGCTGGAGCTGACCGTAGCATGATGGGCCACGGGAGAGACCCGATTCTGTTTGGAAGTTGTGGCACGGTTGGGTTTCGGATTTTTCTTACTTAGATGTTTTGTTTCTGGGAGGATGGGCAGAGGAAAGTGATGTAGGCACCACTGCCAAACTTGGACACATTCACCTGGTAGAATGTGCTTTGGCCCATCCTCCCCCTGTGTGTTGGCTCAGTTCTCATGCCCTGGGACAGGGTTTCTCTTTGATGTGTTTAATTAAGATGCAGGGATTTATATATTTCTTTATTGACTTCAGAGAGGAAGGGAGAAGGAGAGAGAGATAGAAACATCAGTGATGAGAGAGAATCATTGATCGGCTGCCTCCTGCACACCCCCCACTGGGGAATGAGCCTGCAACCCAGGCATGTGCCCTCGGCCGGAATCGAACCTGGGACCCCTCAGTCCGCAGGCTGATGCTCTATCCACTGAGCCAAGCCGGCCAGGGAAAGATGCAGGGATTTAAATGTTTCCTGTCTTCCACAGCTTGATTGGTGGTGCTGATTACAAACTGATTTATCGGCACTATGCTACCCTCTACTTTGTATTTTGTGTGGATTCATCGGAGAGTGAACTTGGGATCTTGGACCTCATCCAGGTATGTGTAGTCTGCTAATGATGGCAGGTGCTTTGCGTTTCTCTGGGTTTTGGGGGAGCCATCCTGTAGATCAGTGGTTCTCAACCTTCCTAATGCCGCGACCCTTTCATACAGTTCCTCATGTTGTGGTGACCCCCAACCATAAAATTATTTTCATTGCTACTTCATAACTGTCATTTTGCTACTGTTACAAATCGTCATGTACATATCTGATATGCAGGATGTATTTTCATGGTTACACGTTGAACATAATTAAAGCATAGTGATTAATCACAAAAACGATATGTAATTATATATGTGTTTTCCAATGGTCATTTGACCTCCAAAGGGGTTGTGACCCACAGATTGAGAACCACTGCTGTAGATCCTTTTGTCAGTCTCTTTACTGATAATTGGTAAAAGATGCCAGATGTCCACCAGATGGTGCTATGAGAAAGCTCCATAGCAACCCTTAAACACTCAGAGCTTTTGGATTCATTGGTTACTACTAGCCATCTCGCTGCCCTTGGTTTTCATGTACAATTCTGACACCGGTTTGTAACTCAGTTCTGTGGACACTAACCAGGTGTCCCATAAGTTTAACCCAATTCTGGCACTATATATCTGGAGATAGACAGCAAACGCAAGACCAGGTTGTCTATCGCCTGTGCTTCTTACTGAATGGCTCTAGATCAGAGATTCCCATGACCTCCTCCGTGAGCTTGATTAGTTTGCTAACGCAGCTTACAGAACTCTCTAGAGAAACATTGTACTTACTAGATTGGCAGCTTGTTATGAGGATAAAACACATAATAGGCTGATGGAAGAGATGTGTAGAGCGAGGTATGGGGAAAGGGCACGAGCTTGCATGCTCTCTCCAGGCACAGCACTCTCCCCAAATCTCCTGGAGCTCACCAGCTTAGAAGTTCTCTGAGCCCTGTCCTTTGGGGGTGTTATGGAGACTTCACGGCATAGGTAAGGTCAACTGAAAATCATTGGCCGTTGGGGATTGATTCACCTCCAGTCCCCCTCCCTTCCAGGGAGGGGTGGGTGGAAAGAGGCACTGAAGGTCCAAACCCTCTAATCACATGGCTGGTTCCCCTGGCAATCAGACCCCCATCCTTAGGTATTCTCCAAAAGTCACCTTAGTGGAAATGAATAGTTTCCTTTTCTCTCAGTAGGTGCTGAAAGAAATGATCATTCAAATCGTATTCCTAAATACTCTTAAATTGGAATAGGAAGCATTTTTATTTATTATTTAATGCGTGTTTACTTATTTAGCATAAACTATTTATTGTTGAAGAAATTGCCCTGACCGGTTTGGCTCAGTGGAGAGTGTCGGCCTGCGGGCTGAAGGGTCCTAGGTTCGATTCCAGTCAAGGGCATGTACCTTGGTTGCAGGCACATCCCCAGTAGCGGGTATGCAGGAGGCAGCTGATCGATGTTTCTCTCTCATGGATGTTTCTAACTCTCTATCCCTCTTCCTCCTTCTCT